ATAAAGAAAAGTTGTTATTTTCACTAAACTCAAATGGGTCAGGACTTAAGTTCTCCAAGGCCAGGAAAATTAACCAATAGCATGAACGTTATAAAATAAAGCTATGGTTACTTCATACTTCTTCAACTGGCAGAAACAAAATTACAAAACCAGTCCAATGTTATCTTGCTAATTCACAGCAAAAACTTCTTTCATCATCATAACTACAAAGAGGAAATGTATTATTTCTAAAGAAAAGAATATATTCTTGGCACAGAGAGAAAAATGTTTAGGGATGATATTTGGATTTTTAGGGAAAATTGATACAGATTTGTTTATTAACCTGTTCATTAATATCATGTGCTTTTTACTTCTTAACTGCATCTCCTGAAGAAGTAATTACACATAACTATCAGAGTTAAAAACATAATTAGTCTCTTTGTACAATATGTCTCCATTAATCTGTAAGATCTCAGCATGTCCATCCTTTTCAGAAATATATTTTAATATGATTCATAAAATTTGACTGTTCACATTATCTAGAATGTGATTACAAAAGAAAGAATATGACCAGCTAGAAAACAATGTGTGATTGATAAAGAGAATATACAATATTTGTCTGATACATATGTGTGATAACTAAACACATTTAACTATGGGAAATGATCTGTAATTTACCTGATTGCAGGAAATTATTTTTAATAGTATCAAATGTTTGGGTTAATAAATGAAGATAATGCCATTTTTCCTATACTGTAACTTCCTATAACTTCCAAAGGCTTTGAGTATCATTCTCCTTTCCAATGAATTAGTGAATTTCCCCAGATTTTTCCCCCCACATTCATAGTATCCCCATTTTCACTCTACTGCTTATTTCAGGGAACAAATAACTCATTCCACCTGTAAACTATGTACCTGATACAACTTCGAAAAGAAAATCACTCTCTTAATAACTTCCTCTATGACTAAATCTATTGTCACAGTTTCATATCAATTATAGAAATACTCACAGAATAGTCATCAATAGTATAATAACCTCACCAATATCCATAAACCTTTCATTCCCTTCATCCAGAAGTTGTATTTTTGGCCCCAGTTCAGGGAAAGGGAGTGTATGAATAATGGAATTAACTGGGTGGGTAAAATAGATGAGGAGATACACTGATTTCATCTTCTCTCGATGCTTTGGATTGTGGAAAAGGTGTAACCCGCATTTAGGATTTGTATTGATCGACCCTAGATTTATCAGTTCATTCCATTCCAGCTAATAATTCACTTTATTCAAACACGATGTATTTAAAAATCATCAGTAAAAATTATTTTAAAACTCAGTGTGAGTAATGTAGATCAAACGGCTTAGGCATTTTTTCATGAACACTGGGTTGGACAGAGAGCAAGCAGAAACAGAGTAAGATGGGAGTGCCTAATAACAACATCAGATAATAGAAGCTTCAGATAAGCCGAAGTGAGATTTTGTCCATGCATGATGAAGCATATTTTACCCACAACCACTTCCTTAGCTTGCAGCAAAACAAATTAGAGAAACTGAAAGGAAGAACTGGTCTTCAGAAAGTGCTAAAATTTACTATTTGAGCCTTTTAAGACATTCATCCCTATGAATATTAAATTCAAATAGGTATGTCAGTATTTTTTGTCTATATATCTATTCAATTTATAATATCAGCTTTCTTATCTGATCTTTAACTTACAGCAATAGATGGAGTTCCTCCACCAATTCTTACAAATAATTCAACCACACTAGTACATGGACTTCCTCAAGCCAAATTTAACTCGTATCTTCATAGGGCCATACAGATCATTTTCTTGACAACAAAAACAAATTGATTAGCCACTGCCTTTTTCCAGAATTTTTTTTTTACAGTTTTCCATAAAAGTACTAACCAAATTGAACTCTTGATAACTGGTTGAAGATCAGTTAGATTTGGGTAGGGGCTACCATATGTTGCAAGACTTGTATTTGGAACATAGTTTTAAAAAGTATTGCTTGAAAGATAGTTATTGCACCCAAATAATTTTAGAAATGTGTAGAAGGTAATCTCACAATTAAAATAGAAGCATTTCTTTCATAAGTCTTTAGATGTACATACAATGTGAGTACAAAAAGGGCTCATGTCACACAATTACAGTTGTTCTCTTAAACCATGTTTTGGTTCTGTGTATGATTGGCAGAAATCAAAAACTAAAGTCCAAATGTAAATATATGTAAGATGGTATCTTTGGCAAAAAGGGCACATTTATTTGAAACATTTTGACTCCTCTGTCCAACTCGCAAATATTTACTTCCATATTTACTTCCAAAATATCTGAAATAGTAATGGAAACAAAGTGAACAATCTATTACGGTAAGTAGAAAAATCTTTATCAATAACTGAAAATAAATATAGCACAAATCTAGTGCCTTTGCAGTACAGATTTAGAAATATGAATAGCAAGATTTGGTTTTCTTTTGTTCAATCATGTCTGATCCTTGGACACCACCTGGACAGGTCCCTGCAGTTTTCTTGGCAAGGTTTTTCAAAAGTAGTTGCCACTGCTCCTTCCTAGGGCTGAAAGGGTGCCTGGCATCCAAGGTAGGACTAGAACTCACAGTCTCCTGGTTTTTAGCCTAATGCCTTAACCACTGCAAGAAACTGACTCTCAATAGTGAGATAAACAAGTCAGCCTCTAAGAGGTCTCACCCTCAGCTTGTCACATTTGAAACTCATCCTGGATATCAAGTCTGAAATGATTCTAGATTCAGGGTGAAAAAGGTTGCACACACGGGAAGTAAATGCATAATCACCAAGAATAAAGGTTATTGCTCTTTGACCAAATGTTAACAATAAATACAACGGATAACAAACACTATTGAAATGCGTATGACAGAATGTACACAATAAATGAATCATGCGTGAAAATCATGTACAATAATGTAAGGAAATGCCGGTGCAATAACAATGTGGATTTCTTCCCAGGAAAAAAGACACTTCCTGGAACTCAGGTGGAGTTTAAGAAAGGATCCCTTTTCCTCAGGATCCTATCCTTCTCCAGAACTTCATCTCTCTCTTTCAGCTGCCTTGTGCAAATTAAAACCCAGCTCTTAAATACTTTCTGGAGTGCTAACAGGTGACTAGGTGCAATGTGCAAAATGACCCTATATGGAATTTCACCACTACTAAACCCATGTACCTTTGATCAATCAGTTAAATTCAATAAAAGGTCCTAAGTAGTATGTCCTTGTGGAATGTTATTTTTTTTTCTTTTGATGGATGTTCTTATTATGTGGACAGGAAAGATAAATGGGTAATTCAAGTTGCAACCTATTCACCTTTTACATAAGAAATATGATAGCTGTGTTAGATTAAGGATGTTGGTCCATCTATCCGCTGAGCACTACCAGTTGACCACCTTTTGTTGACCATGTTGAAGCATGAGTCAAGAGTATCCTTGTGTAAAATTAACTTTTTAAAAACTCACTGGGAGAACCAAATGGCAAGAATGGCAGTGCCTCCCTTGCTTTCAAAATCCTGCAGGAGTAGGCCTCATTCAGCTCTTATTTAGGGAGAATACTGATTCCAGTGGCTATTCTTTCTGACATTTTGATTCACAGATGTGATGCAGAGGTGAGCAGCGAGCTTATGCCACTGCTCTTGTGATGTGTTTGCGAAGCTTCCTGAAACGGGCTCGAAGGGATTCAAGAAATAGAAAATGCTAAATCATGGCTTATTTTAACCACAATCTTTTGAATATGCCACAACTAGTTAAGATCATGCCACATGCTAAATTAAAAACAAATCACATTACAGTTTAGGGTAATAGAGTAATGCAGTCCCTATCATCACTGAGCTATAGAATTAGCTTGACTGTTTTTATTCAAAGAAGCCTGACCAGAATCTTATTTGCTTTTGCAGCTCAAAACCAAAGAGTGCAAAGAAAATTCAAATTCAAATCGTTTTTGCTATTTGGACACATGCAGTTACTGTATCATAGGAAGGGCTTTGCAGCACGCCAAATTGTTTGCAAAATCCAATATTGCCCACGCCAACTGACATTGCGTCTCTGACCCCTTAACTGGAAAGATGCAAGGTCAAGCCTGAGATTTTTCAGCATGTGTTCAGTCGGAGCTCTGAGCTCATCCATTGTGGGCTCTCCAGATTTCGCTTGAACTTCCATTCCCAACCACTTCTGCGAGTAGGCCAGTAATCTCGAGTGGCTGGCGTCCATATATCCAGTTTCCGTTTTATAAAATGCATGAGGTTGAATCAAGCCAGCATTCCACTGTACGGCTTCCTGACATCTCAGAACGTGCTTCATCTTAACCAGTGCAGCAGGGGTGGTGGTGGTCCTAACTACTGAGGCTGAACTGAGACAGAAAGGACATAGGAAGCAAGACTTCTCGGTCTTCAGAAATTTGAAGGAAAAGTTTCTTCACTAAAGAGAGGCATTCCCTACATGTTCATGGATGTTACAGGTAGTCCTCAACTTACAACAGTTCATTTCGTGACTATTCAGAGTTACAACAGCAATGAAAAAAGGGACTTAGGACCATTTTTCACAGTTATAACTCGCTGCATCCCCATGATCATGTGAACAAAATTCGGATGCTGGTTTATATTTATGACGGCTGCTGTGTCCCGGGGTCATGTGATCACCTTTTGCGACCTTCTGACAAGAAAAGTCAATGGGGAAACCAAGTTCACTTAACAACCAGCTTACCATCTCAACAACTGCAGCGATTCACTTAACAACGGTGGCAAGAGATATTAACAAATATCTCACTTAACAACAGAAATTTTGGGCTCAATTGTGATCATAAGTCGAGGACTACCTGTATAGTTTTCAATTATTCCTTAGGTTAGTCTCTTGACCTCTGGGAAAATTCCAATAATCCAAAAATTCAATCCTCTGCAAAGGGCTTAAACTGCCACTGCATGAGTCTCTCTCTCTCTCTCTCTCTCTCTCTCTCTCTCTCTCTCTCTCTCTCTCTCTCTCACACACACACACACACACACACACGCACACACACACAAGGGTGAGCAAAGATTTTGTTTTGCCTCTGTTGAGCTCTTGCACATCACCACTTTTTGCAAAGCACATAGTTAGTACTTTTAACTGTCTTTGTGTTTTGTTTCTTTCTAATGAGCTCTTAAAATACACAATTATTTCACTGTCCTGCCATAATAGAGTTTTCCAAGTTTTGACTGATTGATTGCCTAAGGCGTATTTTTGTCAGCAACTGCTAGTTCAGCCTTAACAACCATCAGACAATACAGTCCATATTATTGTCTTAATGCCAGCAAGAAATGGGATCACCCACACTACTGGATGCTTATTTGTCTGAACATTGGAGTGTTTATCTTCATTATTTAAGCAAGCACAACTTTCGAAGCAGGTACGTGAACTGGTAGTTTGAACTGGGTAACAAACAATGGCCACAGTACAGTCAGTTCTTCACCTGGAAACTCCAAGTAAACAAAGGAAGAGATCTTATTCTGAGCTTGGATTAAATAGCCCAACTTTGTTCTTCATGAGCACATAGTCCTGGATACAGGTGGGCATCTTTGAGAGAGGAAGCCAAAAGAATTTAGCATCTGTGCCTGCGCTGTAATAAGTCTTTGGATGTTTGCTCATTATGGCATGTTCCATGCATCTCACAACCAGCGACAGGTCTGAATTCTGGCACAGCTTGACTAATTTTTCTTTCTTTATTGCGTCTAAGGAAAGAACAAAAGGGAGAGGATAATATTTTCAGTAACGGGATTCAAGGCTCTTGATTAAGTAGTTTGGTGTAATTATGATTATGATTCTAAAATATGAAGCAATAAAGATAAATTGTATTGCATGGTTACATTAAGTACATACAGATACATACAGTACTAATAGAGCTAACAAGATCTGACAGATTAACGCATGGTTTTGTTCTCGTAATCTACAAAGAATACCGATGGACAAGAGGGACAAAGAGTATTTTACACTTCATACACACATACACAAATCGGCGCATACCTTGCAGCTGAGCAAAATCATTGATGCCATATTTAGACGGGGTCCTTACTAATGATTTATAGAATTTTCTGGCAACTTCCAACTATAGCTGTGCTGATACTACAGTAATAAGATTTGGAGTATAGCAAGGCGATGATTATAGGGGATAGTAGAAGATGTTGTGAATTATTATAAGAAGTGGCAGCTAAGGAAAGGCAGTGAGCACCTAGATAATTTTACAGCCTGGAATTCACAGAGTTGAAGTCCAGAGTTCTGAAGTCACTAAAAAAGCTGAGAAAGCAAATAAAGAATAGGCACCTGTGGCAATAACTATCTACATGACCAGCCTGCTACTCAGAATGTAAACCATTTTTAAAAATAAAAATAGCTTGCCATGAATAGCCTCAACCTAGATGCTAGTGATGATCCTTCTAGTGCTCCCTCCATGAAGGTGGACTGTGGGGCTCTGGAACTTGGGAAATGTTAGGATAGTGTTATGAGGGTTAACAAGGGTGGAGAGATGGGGAGGCCATGGCGAACGGGATTTCCTCATGGATGAAATGGGAAAGAGGGCATTTAAATGCTCACCGGTTGAACCAAGATGGGGCAAATTCCCCTGACATCTTGACAGCTCCAAAGTTTCTTTAGACCCTTGAAATCGTTTCATAGCTTACCTTCCTTGAGGTAATGTTCACCATACTGCCGTTGGACGGGGGGAGGAAGGCTATTCCAAATGGCCACTTTTTCTTTTATGACCCGGACTCTGTCAGAGAGCTCTGTTTTGAACAAGCCAGGTTGAATACAGGACACTTTCACTCCAAAGGGCTTCATGTCCTGTCTGCAAAACAAGAAAAGAGGTCAACAGCAATTCAGTAACTTATTACACTAGAAGGACTTTTCAGAGAGAGAGAGAGAAAGTATTGCTGAATTTGGTAGCTCCTGCTGCGACTAACAAATGTGATTAAATAGCTACTAAAAGTCATGACCTTTCACGGTTTGATGATGGGAGCGGCAGTTTGTGAAAACCTATGCTTTTTACTAATATTTGCTTGTCAAAAAAAGTGCTACAAGACTCTAGATTTGCACAATCTAGATCAGCATAGTCTAATACAGAGGTCTTCAACCTTTTGAGCACCAGGGACCGGTTTCATGGAGAGAGGTTTTTCCACGGACCGGAGAGAGTATAGGTTTGCATGCTGCTTGCATCCTGCAGATGGGGCGTCACTGGTTTGCATGGGCCGGTTGCTGGCATGCCGCGGACCGGTACCGGTCCACGGACCGGGGGTTGGGGACCCCTGATCTAATACATAGTGTCTTCCTTTAGCGGCTATTGCTGAATCTGTATCTGCACATTGTACTGGACTCCCAAAGGTACTTTTTCACAAGGCAATGGGACTTTCTTGTTTTTCTTTGAAGATGTTTCACTTCTTATCCGAGAAGTTTCTTCAGCTCTGAGTTGAAGAAGCTTCTTGGTTGAGAAATGAAACGTCTTCAAAAAAAACCCCAAGAAAGTCCAGTTGACTTGTGAAGGAGCACCTTTGGGATTACTATGACCTGGATGACTGACAATCTCCATAGACATTGTACTGGACTGCACTAAGGCAGGCTGGATTATTTCTTAATATTTAAAACTTTCTCTTCCTCCTTGGGATAGCCATTTTCTTTCCATTTTCTTTTCCAACAGATTTCGGAAAAACAGTCCTCTCCCCAAGCTAGACTTTTCCTGTCCTCATTCTTCCTTTTGCCACTACTTTACAAGTAAGAGAAGGTTTAATGTATGTTAAAGCCTTGACCCACTTACGCTGAACCATTTATAGATGAGTCATTCATAAAGCCGAATGACTGGATAGGTTGCTGACATTACAGCAACTCAGACTGGGTTGAATCTTAGGCACAATGAACATCTGTCTTACCTTAAATTGTTGGTAAATGCTTCTGCTCCGTATTTGGATGGACAATAACCACCTGAACATATTGCCAGAATGCCACCAACGCTGGTTACGTTTACTATTCTTCCTTTGGCTTTCTTCACCAATGGGAGTATGTTTAATGTAACGTTTATGAGGCCAAGCAGGTTGATTTCAATGGGTGCTCTATAGTGCTCAATCCTCAGCCAATCGGTGGGTGCTGATGGTCCCATCACACCAGCATTATTGATAAGGCCCCAGAGACCTGCAAAGGAACAAAGCCCACAAAAAGTATTATATCTGAATATATTAAATAATGTTCCAGGCATTATGAAAAGCATTAAGAAAGTGGGCGCGCACACAAATATATATACACACACACACAACGTTGCAACAATCATAATCCAGGAATATAAATTGTTTTCACAACACATAATCTGTTTAATCCTGAAAAGGATTAAAAGGATGTAAATGAACTAGAAAACTGAAAATCAAGTTCTACTCTGAAGAGCAGTGCAGAAAGCTGCCATAGTAAGTGACGCTTTGGGTCCGTACAGCCAGGTATCACTTGCATTAACTGGCAGTGGCTTGCCACATTTTTTTATAGCCCTTCCTGGAGATGTCAGGATTGATTCCAGAGGCAAAGCAAAGTCTCTGTCACTACTGTTTATCCTGAACGAGAGATTAGGGGAAGATGCCCAAGACTGAAAGGCTGTTAGGCCGAGGAGAGAGATTTTTTTCAGACAGCTAGAAATAAGACATGGAAGAGGGAGAGAAGCTAGCTCAGTGGTTCTCAACCTTTTTAATGCCGCGACCCCAACCAGTCGTAAGTCGAGGACTAAACCGGTCATAAGTCGAGGACTAAACCGGTCGTAAGTCGAGGACTACCCAACCGGTCGTAAGTCAAGGACTTTCCCTGCCAGGGAGCGCCGCACATGCGTGGTTCCGCCCCCTGTGCCGGCCGAGGCGTAGCTGGCAAGCGGCAAAGACGGAGCAGGCCGACCACCAGCTGGCCCAGCCCAACGGAAGTAAGGCACCCACTGGAAAAGGGGAAAAAAATGGTGGACAAAAAAAATGGCAGACAAAAAAATGGCGGACAGCCTTGCTTGGCGACCCCCGTGAAATGGTTGATCGACCCCAAATGGGGTCCCGACCCACAGGTTGAGAACCACTGAGCTAGCTAAATGTTAGGAGGAGCTGCCCAAGGATGCAGGTTGCTTGGCAGTAAAAATATTGATTCTTTCTTGCCAGCACAATTCGCAAAGTGCTTTCTGGACACAATTTAAGGCAGTGTTTCTTTACCTCAGCAACTTTAAGATGGGTGGACTTCAATCCCAGAATTCCCCAGCCAGAGGGAGAAACCCACTGATTTAAGATATTGGTGTTAACCTTTAAACATCCCCTAACAGCTTAGAATCTAAACATAAGAGAGATCACCTATGTGATTTTTAACTTTCCCAGATATTATATATAGGACAGGTTTTTTTTTTTGAAGATGCAACATTTACTGGTCATATACTCCTATTAGCCTTCAGCAGATAAGAACAGTTAAGATATTTTACTGGGTTTTTTATTTTTTCATTCTTTTAAATTTTATTTTACATCTTTATTGTTCCAAGTGTTCCATAAATGGAAAAGCAGGATAGACTGAATAAAATACTCAGAAGTAAGTTCCGCTATGTTCACACCACATTACCACTGAATTAATTAATCAATTTATATGGCTGCCTACACTGCAACAGCAAGTCTGGGTGACTAAGAAAGGGTTAAAACTCTAATATAATTAAACAATAATAAATATACATAATTGATAGGTTAACCCTTTTCTGTAATCTTTTAAAGCATGAAGCTTGAAGAGAGGGAGGAATAATTATTTCTTTAATATAAGGCGATAGATACAAAATACAGTGGATTTGTTGGCAACATGTAAGTCTTTATTCTTATGCCCATTTTACAGACTCACCATTTAAATTAAATGGGATTTTGCTTAACAGAGTTTCAATTGGCCTGCCATAGCTGAAACTTAGCAAAATACAGAAACATATCCCAGAGGCATCTTGTTTATAGAAGAGGATAGTTTTAAAATTCCCTATGGTTTAGGACAGGACAGTTGCTGCTGCCACATATTGTCATAAAACTGGCCAACAACAGCCCTACTCCAGCCTTTTGGAATGCCTTGGGGGAAAAGTCCAACGAAAGCAGCAGAATAAATTACATCAGCTTATTCCTTCTTGTGCTCCTATCATTCCTATCATTCCCAACCAGCATGGACACTGACATAACTGGTGTGGAGCAAAATTTCTCTCGTGTTTACAACCCCGTTGGTATGCATCCCATAAAAGTGCTGAGGCTCACTTCTCAGCTGTGTATTTAGTAGGCAGAGAGAAACATACCGGAAAAGGATTGAATTGCTTACCACGTTGTCCTACTTCCTTTTTAACTTGTTCTGCTACTTGCTTGATATTGTCTGAGTTTGTCACATCCAGCTGCACTGTCTGGAGGTTAGCTGATGACTCTTCTTTCAGCTCCTTTGCTCCCTTTTCAGTTAGGCAAGCAGCGATCACTTGAAATCCTCGCCTATCAAAGGTCATAGCTGCCAGTTTCCCAAATCCAGAGTCACAACCAGTGATGAATATGTACTTCCCTTCGGGATCCACTTCATCTAAATTCTCTCCATCTCTCCATTTCCACCATATAAAGATGACGATTAACCATAGTACCAAATGATACCACATATTAAAATTGTACTCATCACTTTCCTCCTGAAATAAATATGAAAATAGAATTGCCCCAGGCATTAGCTTCATGTCTTTCCCTTGACCCTGCACTTCCATAAATGAATAAATATGAAGAGAGGACCATGTCTGAGAGGCAGTCACTTCTTGTGTAAGAACCACAATTAGCTAATACCTTTATTATGATTATTTAAAATGAGACCACAGGTCACACACACAAGGATTTCTTCACCAGGCGAATAAAAAACAGCAAGTGGAAAAAAAAGTCAGTTAATCTGAAAAAGTACGCTGGATGCTATAATGATGAGTTACGTTACACAGATCAGCATAATAATCTGAATGTTATTCACGATAAGGGGAGGAATGTGATTTTGAATCAGCTTGTGCTGATCCACTCTGCTCATCTGCTCTATTAGCTATATTAATATTTCTACTTTGTGGTTCAGTTCAGGCCTACAGATTTTTCCCCAATGATCTTCCAAACAGTGCTACACATTGCACTGTGCTGTAACATGGACTGTTGGCTTGTGGCATGAACACAGACAATGTCATTTAGAGTGTCATCAAACCTCAACTAAGTCTGGCTTATTCAGTACATCATCTTTAAGCAAAGCAGACCTTAGCATAATATGCAAACATATGTTGGATCTATTCTGTGCTTCTAATCCATGTCCTGGGACTAATCCACCTCTAGTATATTTGAAGGCACAAAGTCATTGTCAGTCATTATCTAATTCACGCACAGCACTCTGTGAGAAAGATATCCCAAATAGGAAGCCAAGCTAGAATTTCTTATGCAGTGTTTCCTGGGGATTTCGCAAAGGAACTTTGGTTCAATGATTCACCTATCAATATCCAAGGCCGTAGTTCTACATAGTTCCTAGGCAACTGTTAATCTGGACTTTGTTCTTCTCATTTGACCCTGATTTCATAACAATCGTAAATATAGACTTACTAGAAAACTAAATAATGATGTATTTCAATAAGCCACCCTGCCCAGGAATTTTTACTCTATAGGTAAAAAGGTAGGTAAACACCTATGAGACATCTTTCATCACTAGTGCTTAAAGCCAACCCAACAGCACCTGAGAAGACAGCCCAAGACTTTCCTTTTTCCCTTTGTAAACATAAACTATGAGCATTGTCTACCCTTTCATGGCACCCATCCCACTCAAAGGATTCTCAGGGCCAGATGGGAGAGAAGAACAAAAAAGATGAAAAGAAAAAGATTCATCTTTTAACACTTACCCCAGCCATGTTGAGCTGTGATTTAGATAACGGGGTGTCTATTTAGTATGCTTTGTCTAAACGAAGACTTCTCTTATCAGTTTACTTCCTATTCTTTGAAGAACCCATCTTAAAAGAAGGACATTGCAGTCACAGTGTTGCAGAACAGAACTGGTGGATATGTTTGTCTTCAATTCTTTAGTAATTCTCTTCACACGGATGTTGTTGAACCGGTTAACCTAAGGGTACATTAGTAACAGAATACATATTATTTGTTTGGTAAGTTCACACAAAAGCTGTAAATCACACGGAAGCCAAATTTTATTTATAAAAACTTTATACGTCATTTTTTCATTCTAAAAAACCAGGAAATTGGTATTAAGATATATTACCTTCTACTTTAAATAAAGAAATAAATATTCTACCCATTTTTTCCCACACGAATGCATCACAAGTTATACAAATGGTTTACGTACCACATTTCTACACAGCCTTGTAACATTGGGAACATTTTTTTAAATTAAATTTCTGCAATAAAATTACGATTTAAAAATAAAACTGAGAACCATTTCGAACACAAAACAATAGTTAAAGTCCATCCTTGATTAGTTTCCTTTGAGCATACTTGGTTACAGATTCACCATAGCAAATATGTTCTCTCCCCATGTTAACTTAGGGTGGTGAAAGTTACTGAAGGTATCTAGAATAGAAGGTTTTAGGCTGATGAAGGCCAGCACTAAAAAATTCCCTTTTTACAGCCCTGTAATCCCTTAATTAGGGGTAGAGTTGGGGTGACTGGATGGAACTGAGCGTTTATTGGCCAGATGCCTTTCCTGACGCCCCACAGAGTTTGCAGCAAATATTTTTTTCTTTGCCCTTAGGAGAGAAATATCTGCTGCTACCTAGGATTGAACTCTCAACCTACCGAGTGGGAGGTGAGCATTTTTACCACTAGGTCCCCATGGCGCTCTGACAAAGGCTAGCATATAGAACTTAAATAATTAAGGCAAGTTTCTTGGCTTCATTACATCATCACGTTTGAAGGGACAGTTTTCTAAGTACAGTACAACAGTCTTTGCCTTTCTTTTCTCCTAGAGAGGAAGAGAAGAAATATAGGAGTGGGAGGAATTACAATAAAACACACCATAGCACTCCTACACTCCGGTGCCATAACATTTCTAAAATAAAAGAAATAAACAACAACAGCAACTTTTTTTTCTGAAAACAACTACAGGAGCTTGTTCTACTGAGTTCCTGTTCCCGTGTGTGCCTCGGGGAGTTTCATTTACCTATCAACAGGAAGTTCATTAAACACCTTTTACTCCCAAAATTCCTCAAAAGGAATAATTTCGTATTTAACGATGTTCAGGTTTTGCATTCCTCTATTAATTTATGAAAGTACACCCAGATGTCTTGAAGAAATGCCTTCAGTTTGACAGCATTGTGGGCAGCAAAGGGATTTGCAAATACATTTTTAAATACTTTAAGAATAATTGAACAGGACCATTTCTTTCTTTCTTGAGGTGGTTTCATTTTGTAGAAATGGTATACTACCACTGGCTTGCTAAACTGATGCCCTTGCTCTCTCTAAGAATGCTCACAAGTCCTAGATGTTGTGACACTAATATCAGGTGAAAATCAAATGCCCTCCCTTTGTGTTTTAAGGGACAACTTTACATGCTTATTCAGATTTTTGGAAAGGGCTGAACTGCTGAGATCTGTAATTCCTTCAGATTATCACGAGTTCTCTGTATTCTCTGTACGGTATCACTGCATTAATGTAGCCAGGTTAACAAGTTACAAGTCTTTATACAAGAGTATCAATATGTCTGGGGAAGGTGGAAATAAATTCAGGAAACCCAATTACATTCAGATTTAATAAAGGAGAATATTTGTAGCTCAGGATTGGCATGAGGGGTCCTTGGTGCTCTCTGAGCTTGCTTGTTTTCTTGCAGACATTTCATGGCCCAAAGTAGGTAACATCATCAATGTTGAGGTTACCTAGTTTGGGTAATAAAAACGTCTGCAAGAAAAGAAGCAAGCTCAGAGAGCATCAAGGACCCCACATTCAGATTTTGTTGATTTAGTTTCCAGAGAGAAATCAGGAGCTAGCAGGACATGAATTCTCATGGGGAAAAAAAATGGAAATCAGTTTACCTTCATGGCTATTTCATCTGTTGCTACTTGCAACTGCAGGGATTCCTATCAATTGACTTTTTTGGTCCTCCAGGGTAATGGAAAACCAAGAGTGAGCTGTAGTTGCACAAGCATGCTTTCCCATCTTAGGAGAACAATCCCAAATGTACAACCTTTGGCAAAGGGCACCTATATAAAGAAATACATTTATGTTCTTTAGACAGTGGGGCAGTTCTCCTAATTTTGCCAATCTGGCTAAGGGGACTCACAGAAAAACACTGAAAACAAACAGAGGGCTTAAGTTACACTGTGAGCAAATTTTGGCCAGATGTGGAAGGGGGGAAAAATTCCCAAAGCTAATGTTGGCCCAAATGATTAAATTGTCCAGGCTGATTGTATTAACTACATCCAGGCTCTAGTCATTAAGTTTTCCTCCTACCATCACGAGCTTGCTGCCATACTCAGTTTGTCTCAGTCCTGATTTAAGGAAGGAAGGCAGGCTAAGTGTCCAAGGAAGAGCTGAGTTTTTCTGAACATGGGGATAAAATGAAAGCAAGTCCTTCCACTCTTCTAGTTTAAAAGAAATACTAATTAATATCCTCCGGTGATTAGATTAACTCCCATGATTCTTGATTTGCTGCGCTGTAGAGGTTCTCCTGGATTTCAGAAGCCTGAGACTCTAAGCAGAGTTTAGCGATGACACAAATCATGGCTTAGTGATGTCACAAACCACATACATTCTTAGAAAGCACCACAGAGATCAGAAAGCTCAAGGAAATCAACCAATTTTATTCCTAGAAACACATATACAGGCAATCCCATACATAGCAACGTTCTTCCTCCAAACTCCAAAATCTATTTTCTTCTAACATATTTCATCCAGAGTCATTCCCAAATAATGTAGCACACTCTCTCAGGAATTGTGTCTGGTTACTAATCTCTCCTTTAAAAAAGGGTTTCAGACTTGGCTTTCTGACTTGTTTTAGTGATGCTTTGTGTGTGTGTTATTTAATTATCTCAAAGTTGTTTTTCCCTTGAGGAGGATGTTTCGCTTCTCATCCAAGAAGCTTCATCAATTCTGGGAGGATGGTGGGGGCGATGGAAGGATTAGTTATGAGAGGATGGGGGGGGCTTGAAAGGATCATATTTCTGGTAACCATATGACTGCAAAGAAATAAGAATACTTCCTGTCCCATCCCCCCAATCCTGTCAGAACTAATTCTTCCATCACCCTCACCATCCTGTGAGAACCGATGAAGCTTCTTGGATGAGAAGCGAAACATCTTCCTTAAGGAAAAAAAAGTCCAGCTGCCTTTTGGAAAAAGCACTTTTGAGAAAACTATGACCTGGATGACTGATAATCTTCACATACGTTGTTCATATTTTCAATTCGGTTCTTTAAACATTTCTGTATCTTATAGTGCTGTTAGATGCTATGAATATTTTTGTTGGGTGGAAACATGGGATGTAAATTACTATTACCATTCAATTCCTTTTTTTTCTTGTCTCTACTTTTCTCGTTATGATCTATGTATTTTTGATGTCCCCCAAATATTAACTTATCCACTTATCCAGACAAAATATAAATACATATTGTTGTTTAGGTGGGGAGGAATGCCATACATTTTATCCACCATTGCGGGCAGTTACTTTGGAAAGGATCTGAACTGTGACAGTACAAAAAATAGAGAACGAGGCTGCTTAAATTACACACAAAACAAAGCCAATAGCATGGGGGTAAAATTGAGATTATAATGGCATTTTACATAATGAATGATTACAATTATGTTATATATATAACAAAGGAAATAAGATCTTAAATCAGCTGCTTGTATCTCAAGACACAAGCAGCTTCTCCTCCCCTACCCCCCCCCCCCGATTCCTTCATAAGCCTGAAGGTACATTTATTGAGATGTATTAAAACACAATATCAAGAAGGATAAAACATTTAAAAACCCAATAAGACAATCTTGTTCCATTCTCAACATCTCACTTGCTCATTCTTGCTCACTCGCATCGTGACATAAAAGGGGGCGCCATGGCTCAGTGGTTAAAGACCCTGAGCTTGTCAGCTGGAAAACTGACGGTCTGGGTTTGAGACCCGAGCGCCACACGATGGAGTGAGCTCCTGTTCCTTGCCCCAGTTCCTGCCCACCTAGCAGTTCAAAAGGATGCAAATACAGGTAGATGAATAGGCACCACTTCAGTGGGAAGGTAACGGTGTTCTGCGTTACCTCGGCGTATAGCCATGCTGGCCACATGACTGTGGAAAATGTCTTTGGACAATTCTGGCTCCCTCGGCTAAGACACGGAGATGAGCACCGCCCCCTAGTGTCAGACATGACTGGACAGGGGAAACCTGTACCTTCACCTTATCTTGACTCACACCGTGGGAGTGCGTCTTCATTTGACTTAGCAAACTACACAATTCTGCTATGCCAGGTTCACAGTCAGCACTACAATCTGGAGCCTCACCAGCTAAAGCCAAACAGCCAATACCTGAAGCAGGAGACCTAAGGTGGATAAGTGCTTTATCCCCCCCCCCTCCTTTCCTTTGCTTGTCTTGTTGCTGGTGCTTCTGCTGCTGTACTCCACACCTCCTTCTCTTCTAGCACAATCAAAAAGGTGTGGGGGAGGCAGAGTTCGTGGTAGAAAAGTGTCTTCTTTTTTAAAATATAAGGGAAGCACAGTGTGTGAAGTCTAAAGTAGTGTCTTTAAGAGAGCACCGTCTAAACACTGATGTGGCTGCTCACACCATCTGCACAAACCTTGAGTCTTTCAAGCTCTTGAACAAGCTAAGAGCAGAGGTTGGCAAGTCTATCTGAATCCCAAGGAATATATTTTGCCAGGGGAAGGCAAGGGAACAGCTCCAATGCTTTACAATCGGTTTGTAGTTATT